ATATATATGTGTGTGTGTGTATTTATATATGTGTACATGTACGTATATAATCATGTGTGCACACTCGTGCATGTGCGAGTGGTTATGCACTTACCCACTCCTCGTATGTCTTGCGTGCGAGTAGCAGCTCGTTCAAAAGCTCGAATTCGACCTTCAACTTGACATCACTGGGGTGAGCTGTGATATTTGAAGTTTGAATTGATTAACCTCTGGTGTGAAGTGTGTAGTGTTGGCGATGACTGTCTTGAGGCCAGCAATGATGTCTCAAGATGTTGTGCATAGGCACAATATTGACCACATAAAAACGAGGTACAATAACAAAATACAATATATATATAGCCGACAACACCTATCCAACACAATGCTCTCTGGGCAGCGCGCTAGCAAACCCAACCCAGCCCATCCCCCACACAACAGCCCCTCCCCTCCGCCCATTCAACCCGCAGACTCACCTTCCCCAAAGTCTATATCGAAGTTATCCTTGTTATTGCTATCGACCGCCGCGGCCAATTCATAAGCCGCGTGGTACTGACCCGTTAGTAGCAGACCTCTGAGCACGGCATTGCAGAGCTCTAATGACTCCCACATGAACTGTGCACGCACGTTGAAGCAGTGCAGCACGTTGAGCAGATGCTTGATCTGGTGGTTGTCGATGAAGTGGCGCGACTCTCCGGACATGGAGAACCTGATGGTGTGTGTCCAGGAGAAGGAGAAGGTGACTACGGTGTAGATATGTTACATGCACATAGTGTAGATATGCTACATGCACATGGTGTAGATAGATTGAATACACGAGGTTTAAAAACGATGTAGGGGGGGGGGTCAAATGGAGACAAGTGACGGAGTGCAATATGCAGGGCCCGACCGGTTCAGTGCTTTAAAAACAAACGGTACACAGAATATGTTCATTCTAAACGTAAATTTCAGACGACTAAGGGGGAGTAGGGTATAGTTGGTAGCGCGGTTTTCACACGTACAATAGAGGCATTAGAGTTCGACAAAAGTACATACGAGGCACGACTCTTAAGTACATCAAACGCACGATTTACCCATGTTGGAAGGTTAGACACGTGTACTCGCATTCATCTACACACGCGCAGGTCAACAAGGAGTACACACACACACGCACACACACACGTATATACACACACCCACATACCCACACACATACACGTATACACACACACACACATATATATATATATATATATATATACGCACACACACATATACGTATACATATACATATACATATACATACATACATACACACACACATATATATATATATATATATATATACCTGCGCAGCGTGTTCTCATCATCCTCATTTATTACCGGAATGCCGTACTGTGCTCGAAAGTCCCGCAGAATCCTTAGCAGCAGTGTGGCCAGACCCAGGCGCGTGTTGAGGTGCACAAGTCCGCAATTGATCAGCCTACGCTCCAACAACTCTCGGTCTTCCATTGCACCCTCCAAGAGATCCGCTTGCTTAGTCAACTGTGATGCAGTGAATTGAGAAGTGTGTGGTCAGTTGATGGTAATGTGATGCAGTGAATTGAGAAGTGTGTGGTCAGTTGATGGTAATGTGATGCAGTGAATTGAGAAGTGTGTGGTCAGTTGATGGTAATGTGATGCAGTGAATTGAGAAGTGTGTGGTCAGTTGATGGTACTATGATGCAGTTAATTGATAGGTGTGTGGTCAGTTGATGGTACTGTGATGCAGTGAATTAGGAAGTGTGTGGTTAGTTGATGGTACTGTGATGCAG